CCATATTCTTATGCTTTCCAGTACCATTAAGTATAAGGGATATCCCCGTTTTGAAACTTCAAAATACTTTACCTGGACACACCTTTACGATCTGAGTGTATGGATATTTCGCTGGTACATACTTTTCCCAAGGACTATCAATTTTCGGTGGGGTTCACTGTGTCTACAAAACGCAAAACAATGTCAAATTTAATATTTATGGATTTTGAGTCCTTTTTTAACTCACCATACTGTAACCTAAATCAACTTAGGTATGTGAATAATGACATTGTGCCTATTTCATTATTCTGTATTATACAGTATAGCATAACGAATTAGCTGCAATGTCATAACGTTATTCAAAGTCCCATAATAAATATTAAATACACATCACCATTATAAGAGGCATAACTGTATTTCTTTGGTTTGCTGACTCAAACTGTGCTGATGAGCCTTAAATAGGCGAAATTGCAGTCCACACCAGAGAGTAGGCCAATCAAGGAATGCATTAGGTCTACTCACTCGCCTGATCAATCAGATCCAACCATCTCTACCATCCAGCTGGAAAATTTGATCTGACTGATTGGGCTGTTGAACTCCATATGACACCCCTAGTTTCCAGCTGGATAGTCATATGGAGTTCAACAACTCAATCAGCCTCTTCAGTCTCCTCAGAACGATACATCTTGTTATAAAATATGGAGAATACTCAACTTTGCTGTTGCTATTGAGGTTTTGTTTCACTTTCATTTTATCACGTGTGTGATTTCAAATTGCATTATTTTGGCCTTCTAGAATTCATTTTTGCTTACAGTTCAAATATTAGCATAATGATAGTGTTATCAGTCGGAACCGGTTTTTAAGGACTGTGTTTCCAAGGCTTTTGCAGTAGAATTGTAATTTGCAGAAAAAGTTCAATAATAAAAACACAAACGGCATTCTGTCATCAGTAATTTTACATTTCTAATAAAAACTGTAAGGTACATGAAAGTTTGATTACGTTTCTGTTGATTAAATTAACCCACTTCTGTTTTCTTGTTTCACTTGAACAACGACTTAGATCTTTGTCTTCTTCCTGATAAAACCAGGTAAAATCCGTGGAAGTCGTTCCCTACCTCGAGCTTTCCACCAGATGTTGGTAAAATCTGTGGAAGTCGTTCCCTACCTCGAGCTCTCCACCAGATGTTGGTAAAATCTGTGGAAGTCGTTCCCTACCTCGAGCTCTCCACCAAATGTTGGTAAAATCTGTGGAAGTCGTTCCCTACCTCGAGCTTTCCACCAAATGTTGGTAAAAAATCTGTGGAAGTCGTTCCATACCTCGAGCTTTTGACCAGATGTTGGTAAAATCTGTGGAAATCTTTACTTTCCTTGAGCTCTCCACCAAATGTTGGTAACATCTGTAGAAATCTTTACTTTCCTTGAGCTTTCCACCAAATGTTGGTAAAATCTCTTGAAACCGTTCCTTTTCTCGAGCTCGTGATTTCGGTGACTAGTATTTAGGAGTTTGGACAGAAGACAGAGGACGAAGTGGAAACTTCTCAGAACTATGGTAGTCAAAACTCATCGTCGTATGTTAAGCCTTGTTCGGCTTCCGTCACCCAGTCTTAATTGTTAAGCCTTGTTCGGCTTTCGTCACCCAGTCTTAATTGTTAAGTCTTGTTCGGCTTTCGTCACCCAGTCTTAATTGTTAAGTCTTGTTCGGCTTTCGTCACCCAGTCTTAATGGTTAAGTCTTG